TCATCCGGCAACACTCTTCGGCAATCGATAACGAACGCCCCACCTGGCTATCCTCGAGGTTGCAAGAAGACATGCTCGACCAGTACTCTACGACGTTTGTGAAAGAGACGAAATCGTCAAGCAAGCGGGAAGGCGATTGGAAATCGAGAAGTAGTGGGACCTACATAGTCGAAAAATAACTGTGATACGAATGAAGTGAAGTCAGAAAGTAAAAAACGAAAACTCGAGTGCTTTATAACATGATATGACTATGAGCCTGTGGTGAAAGCGTTGCCTTGGTTCTCGATTGATCAGTGAACACATCCGAAAAAGGTAGATTTTTATGCATTTCACAAGGTGGAATGGAGCTTTTTCCAAGTTCGTCATATAACATAACATCGCTGCATTTATCTATTCATTCATAGTGTGTGACAACAATCGCATGCCCCAATAGTGTAGAGTGCTGCGCAAAACAAGCGTCGGTGGTGCAACAGTTAGCATACGCTCCCGGAAAGAGTGAGATCTAGGTTCAAATCCCGGGTGACGCAAATGTTTTTGCACAGCACTCTACACTATTGGGTATATTGTAACATCATAACACCGCAAGTGGCGGTCAAATAAAATCATTTCTAATTGCATGACCTCTCCCAGACAAGCAGCTAAACGGCTCTGAGGAAGGCGAAGTCGCCAAGACGTCAGCCATCATAAACCAACTCACGCAAATTTTTGTAAAGAAAAAAAAAGGTGCAATTGGTAAGATAATATCTTTGTATCTTACAAGCTTCTGAATGACTATCGGGCTAAAAGAACCTCTGTGGGGCAAAGTACTCAGCGAAATGTACGCCTCGAAATCAATACGTATTGTTTGTAAGATGCATATATTGAAATCAAAGCGTATAGTCGTAAAATGGTTGGAAGATCATGGCATCACTTTATCCCGTGTCAATAGTTCTACTTTACCCGAGGATCCTATCTTTTTGTAGCGAGAACATATACTCGGATCATTAACGACTTTGAACTTTTCAAATCCCAGCTGATCAGAATTTTGTAGGAATGGCCTCGAAGTCATACTTCACGCCAACATTCCCAAGGAAAATCATGCCGACGAAGCCCACCGATGTCATTTCTTTTCATAAAGAATGACACTGACAAACTGATTGGACATGCACGGCTATGTCTTATTCCCAATAGGTATACCTACTTGAAGAAATCTTTGCATTTGTAACATACCCTACCATATCAGAAACTTTGGCATGTTTTTTCACATAGTTCCTTTGTAAATTTGCGATTGTATTTGTTAGAAATCTAGAGTCGATTTTATACTTGTGTAGTCACAGTAGTAAAAGTCATCAAAAAAGTACAAATCAAATTTAATACTAACTAACATAAAATTTAGACCTAACTCGTGCTGGATAGAATCTGTGATTGTGGCCAAGGACTATAGAGGCATCGGCCTGGGAAAGCTGCTTATGGCATCGTTGGAAGACGCGGCGAAACATTTCGGATTCAAAGAGGTATGATGATGGATGAAGTCAAGATAGCAGCTTGTTGTACCGTTCATCAGCTAATCACTACAATGTTGTCTGTGCTGCGTCGAAACAAATCGTACCTTCTATGATTATGATCGTTTTCGTTCAGTTAGATTTACTTGAGTTTGTAAAGATACACGGAATCAGGAAATTAGGATGTGTACATAAAAATGGTTCGTGCTCACCAGGCTCATCTAGGGATATCAATTTTCTACCCTCGTCTCTTATGGCTTTTTACGTAATCAATTTCAAGATCTCATTTTGTTTCCTGAACTTCATAAAATTCAACTATTTATAATATAGGCAATCTGCCTTTAATTGCTTATTATAACCGTCATAAATAAAAATTTGTTTCAATACCCAGAACCCCATGGATTTTTCTCATAGAGGGATGTGTTCCTGGTAGATTCACAGGGCCCTTGGCGCATTCTCAGCTGTTAGAAGGAATCAAACGCGAAGCAAAAGAGACCATGTGCTTCTCTGTTTTCTTCACTAAAACTCTGAATGGAAATACTATTCTCTTTGATTTTCTTATTGAAGAAAAACTCAGCTCCACGCCCTACGAATTGAAGAACATTGTGCTAGATAGCAGCGATAATACATTGGTTTAGGCCTACCTTTGTACGAAAAATAAGGTGACATTCTATGAGAAATGCGGATACAAGAAATGTGATCCGATTTTGCACTCGACAACAGCGGTATCGATGTTTCCTGCAACGCTGATTGTCCAGGTATTTATCCGATCTTCAATGCGTAATGCAGAAAACTTCTTGACCATTTTAACTTTCTTGAATGTTTCAAATTATGGGATTTAGCTAAGTCAATATTAGGAACTTTTGGAATCTCAGGTGGTCTTCGAACCGCGATTATATTTTGCGGAGCTTACGTGTTAGCCATTGCACAAACCGAACCCATTGCTCTAATTTTCTCTCAGCCTTGTTAAATTCCTATTGATGCTATCATTAATCAGCAATCAACGGTAATTACCCGAGTAGCACAAACCATCATTGAGTAAAGAAAAGCTAAAGCTGCACTCGTTATTAAGTTTTGTCTTTTGATTCCTGGCTACTATATTCATGGCACGGTGCGATGCGAACACGGTTGAGAGGGTGTCGTTTGGTGTACTGATAAAAACATGAGCTCTCAGAAAGGGTAATACCGGGTTGGAAGCTCGTCGTTTCCAGTGTTCCTCGTATCTCACATCGTCGTGGTTGTATTTCACATCATATTCTGCCATGAAAAAGAATGGACAGTCTTTAGATGGTGGACCATTATGTCCGTTTTGTCAGTAGTTAGATGCAGTTCATTTTAGGATCCTAAAGTGGAGGAGAGAAATTCAGGAACCAGTGCCATCTCATTACAAAATGGTGAGGTTAAAAGGGAAACCCAAAACTCAGAGATGCCACTACCTTTACCTGTGCCACCACCTCCTCCATTTGATCTTAGAGAGACTCTTTTTAAAAATTCAGCAAATACCGGCCATCAGTATATGTGGAAACAGCTGGTCTAAAGCATGTTTAAACTAAGATATTTATCCAGCAATAATGACTTAGTCACTTTTTTCCATTTTAGAGCCCAACTCACTCCGATCCAGATTTTCCAGTAATAAAAGAAACATGATTAAAATTCCACTCTCTATCTCTTCACTTGTTTAATCATCTCCCGATAGTGCTACGTTCCCTGCCTTCAACCGTCCCAGCCAACCTCAAAAACTTCTTAGATGAAGAGTCTAGAGACTTTTATACTGATCAGTCCCTATTCAGTCATATTCTGCGGCATGTAATTAACCTTAATCAAAGTTATTATATATCTTGCGAGAAGTTGTCTTGCTACATGTGAAGCAAGTAGTGTCAGCCGAACTTCCCTGAGTGTATTGCAAGAGGCGAACGATAAGCGACGTCTCAGGTAACCCATCGACCCGATGTCGCTTGTAAAACCGTCCGTCCATTCTGTCACCCACCGTTCATGTTGTTAACACCTTTCTTCATTTATCCCATAGAGTACCACATATTTATTTACCATTTCGTATCGTTGGTTTTTGTGAAAAAACCTCTCTCTCTCTATCTATCTTACTCTACAATACTTGAAGTATTATTCAAAGTATTCCATTGGTTTACCATTGTCCCTAGTAACTATATCTTCCTTTTTTCATTATTTGTTCCAAAGAGCAACGCTCAGTTGCTGGCTAATCTGTTCTTTCGTTTATCGCTTGCTTTACTTGTGTATTCACAGCCTCATGTTCTTCTGGTCGTTTTATTTATGTAGTAAACTCAAGCACTGAGCTATTACTCATATTGTATTACTTATTTCAATTATACAAATCGTACAAGCTGGTGGATAAGACCGGCGTTACAAGGTTTACACCTCAACCCGATTTTTGTATATATTTCTTGTCCTACACTGTCAATATCACAGTGTTATTGTTTATATTACGATCATTGTGATGAAGATTTAATTACCCAAGTTTGAGTGTTATAAATTCTATATGAAGAAAGCTCGGATCATAATGGTTGCTATCTTTCTAGATAAAGCTATATTTGAGCAAAGTTATACCATTTTAAAAATGCCGACAAAAATTTAACACTTTCCTCAACAATAGTCGAGTTTTATGCTTGATCTAACATCCTCTTTCCTTTTTTATACATAACCAGTCTTTCATACATACCGCGTGGCTCCCCTGAACTTACATTATATTCGTTTCCTTGGATTTTCCATCCATGAAGGTCTTTGAAGGCTTCGTTTGTGGGTTCGGCTTGTGCTCGAGGATTTTCCTTCGGTCATAAATGTTGTTGAATACTCATCGAGTCGATTCCTTCTGGAGTACCGGGATCGCCGGCCTAAAGCGTTCCGACTTGGATTACAACTGAAGTGTTTTGGCACCAAACTGGTCAGGTACCAATCTTCCAACCTCAGATGGATGGGAGACTTAGTGGGGAGTCAACCCAGCGCCGTGTTTATGATCAAAGGCATCAGGACCACTGCGACACCCTCCTCTGATGCAACATTTGAAATAATACAAGGAGGTTCATAAGACCTGAAAGTAAGGAAGGGCCTTCTGTATGTTTCTATAAGATAATCGATGATGAAGGAAACTTTAAAACTGCGATCCACAAGCCATATCTAGAAGATAGATAATCTATCTACACAATAACTTTGTAGTTCTTCACTTTACGGCTATTTTAGATTTTGGACATTTGTCCAGCGAGACATAGTTCAGTGACATACTGACTATCCAGTTCAGTGCTTTCTACGGTGATCCTCAAAGACATCTCAGCTTAGCATCTGAGAGGAGACAATGTTCACCACAGAGTTCAGCAATTCAAATTTTGTGCTCGCTGCAAATGCAAACACATCTCAAGCCCTACAAAACATATTACCAGCACAGTACATTCTCCATTGTTTTTGATGTACACTTTGTGCAGCAAATCAGTCAATACGTATCGGTTACCTTCTATATAGATCATCCCAATGCAAAGTGTTAGGCAAAGACCCGACCTCAAACGGGAGTCGAATCCGTGTTTTACCCATATGGGGGGGGGGGGGGGGGGGGGGGGCGTGCTACCACTACACCACAGAGGTCACCGCTTTGCTTCCATTTTTCCTTCTAATATGTCTCATTGTACGTATTTGTCTTAATAGATGTTCCTGACGATCCATTTTTTTCGTACCAACTCAACATTCACTACACTTTGCCTGCTCCGAGGAAAGCTATTTTGTTGGAAGATAATAAGACAAAAACTGAGAACTGCAAACTTTTACTCTAATTTACAAACAAGACAGTCAATATGACGAATTTATTTTCTACATTAATTCTCTGACCATTACTTGTTTATTGCATGGATGAAGTAGCAGAGAAAACTTTGTTGTGGAAAAAACAGCGAAAAAAAATGCATCTTCCAGAAATAGCCCGCACTCGATAGAGTAATAAAAACTTGAAAACTAAAACTCGGGTCAGAGAAAGTAAAAATAGAGCTCACTTAAGACATCGCTACATAGTCAACTGATGGAATAAATTGCATACAAGTTATGATTGACTTTGTCAGAGTCTACAACATAAAACTCATGCTAGTCGTTAGTATGTTATCACACTTTTAATTTTATTTTGAGCTTATTCTTCTTCATGGCAGAGATACGATGTGAAATGTGATCGCAAGGATGCTGAAGTACGAGGAAAACTCGGAAATTGCGACTACCCCCTCCAAGGTTCATCTGTTACCATGCCTTGGTAGAAGAATGAGCAGTTTATAGAAGGAAGACTGTGACTAACGATAGCTTATTACCAACAAAAAATGCGTACGCAGTATACAACTATTCTCAAAGACAATACTACTGTCCTTCCCACACCCTAATATATTTACAAGTATAAACAATGTCGAGACAAATTTCACGGTGTATGGACAGTCCTACTCTACATGTGATTTCGCTTACCCTCTACGACTCTAATATATAGTCCATCCTTGACTTACACGGTATGAACGCTTATTACAACACTAGTAAACGTGTGATGCAGCGGTCTATTTCCTATTGTATATATATATATATATATATATTATATACATATATGTGTATATACACATATATATGTATGTATATACATGTATGCGAAGGCGAATTATTTCAGTTATTGGTCAGCCGATTATAGTACAATTCAACTAGATAGCATGCTTGGCGGAATCGGTATTACGCCCACACCTACTCCTCCCTCATGAGATCCGAGCGGGGTCGATAGCTCCCACTGATCGGTCTCTTCACTGTACATCTCCATTGATGAAAGATTTGACATACCATCGTATCTAAAAAATTTATGTTCTATAATTGAAAATGTGTCGATTAATAGGAACTACTCAACACAAGACCGCAAAAAGCTAGCTTTAGTTCCTATTCTCATTATCAAACACCATATCTATTAGACGGCGCACTAAAAATCCACTACTCTTATCCAGCTGTTAAGTTCAAAATATGAAAAGGAAGTACTCTAAGTAGAGAAATGTCACTAAAAACTGGAATTCATGCGAAAGGACCACCATTCGTTGGGATTTGATAGGACCCAATGTTCCACAAAAGATTTTTACGCTTAATCATGTGGTTTTAGCCCTCTCCATTCTTTTTAACAAATCATTGCTAATGTGAACGAGAATGAAGATGTTTTCGACCGAAAAAGGGCATACCCAGCTATAGCGTAGATCGAATTTGCATTTGATACCAACGACACACGACTTCGTTTGATGTTCATTGGTGTTACTGGCGACCACCGCATTGTTTTCGGATCGAAACACTCGACACTGTTGAGAAACTGCGCGCCGTCATAACTGTAATAAGAAACACATTCAGGGCTCAGTGAGTGGAATCGAAAGAACAAACAGAGCCATTCTAACTCTTTTACATATTTATACAGCATTATTATGCAAATAATCACTACTAGATACTACTTAAAGAACCAAAAACAGTATAAAAATATCTCCATAACCTTGCTTCACAGAAAAAAGACACAAAGTAGAGGGACTCGTACTGAAATTCATCTCGGTAGAGTAAATTATTCTCTAAAAAATTTTAAAAAATGGCATATTCTAGTCCTTCAAACTCACCCTCCACATACATAAATCTTGTCATTCAGAGTTGCTGCACCCAGTCGACATCGCTTCGACAGCATTGACGGGACAGCTTCCCACTGACCTTTCTCAGACGAGAACCGTTCCACCGAAGAGAATATCGACATTCCATCATGACCACCCATGACTAAAATGATAGTTTAACAAGAAATTAATTCGAATAATAGTGGAAACAAAACAAGGAATAATCAAGGAACAGAGAAGTGTTTTAGAAAAAATTCTCTCAAGAAAAAAAAATTTTCAATGACCATATAGATATCCATCCAAGACTGCCACTCCAGCAGCACTTCGCTGCTTCGTCATAGCCTCACCAACCTCCCACGTGTTCTTTTTTGGGCAGTAAACCTAAAACAACACATTGCTTGAGTATATTATGAAGAGGTCGATACGAATTCTTTATTTCTACTACTTCCTAGAGATTCTATGATGTTGCAATATACGCATTTGAGAACATTGAGTTGTTCCAGACTAAGACTACCTCAAGCAGAAGTGAAATCCACGTCTAATCCTTACTGCAAACGTGTGCTACCACCCGTCCGCTAAGAATGAGACGCGGGTTCAACTCCCGCATAAGGTAGAACTTCTGCGTACCACTATTTTCTCAAATATGAAAAGACTAGATGCGGTTTTCTAACAGTAAGAGTAATAGAACCGCAAGCTGCTCACCTCCACTGTTGCAAGACTTGAAATACCATCATAACCACCACAAACGTATAACTTATTGTTGTAAAACGCAGCGGCGAGTGCTGAACGCTTCTTAATTAAAGGAGCGACCTACAAATGAAATTTATTACGCACGATTTTCCAGGAAAAAGATTACCTAATTGATTACCGGTGTCCACTCGTTCTTACTGTAATCATACGACTCAACAATTTTTAGGCGATCATGTCCATTGAAACCACCGATGGCGTAGATCTTAAAAGTAAACTATTACGCCTCCACAGGCTTATTGTGTAAGACGATTACCTTGCGGTCATGTACAGCAATTCCTACTCTCGAGCGAAAACTTGTCATAGACTTTACAGGTGACCACTGTTTAGTTATTGGATCGTACATTTCCACAGTTGACAATGAGTCGCCACCGGTTGAAAGGCCACCTTGAAGCAAAAACTCATCATATCTCAGACATATGAAATCTTGAATAAGTCGACTTGCCTATTGCAAACATTAGTCCAGGAACGTCGTTACAACACCGAACTTTTGTACGAAATGAACGTAAATATGGTCGCCTTTCAGGAATTAAGTGGTAATCCTTTGCTTCATCCACCTACATAATCCACCATGCGTTATACAATGTTCACTGGAAAACGATTAAAAAAAACTGAACTCCTACTTAAAATTCAACTTACAAGATCCCTGCAAGCTAGGTCACCCCGGACCAACTGATGTCCAGCGACTTCATCAGCTAAGAATGATGGCTTGAGAAGAGGAAGGCGTACACATGCAAGGATTCTAGAAAGTATAAGAAAATGACAAAGAATTGAGAATTGTGGTTCAAGTATTACCTTTACACTCCTACATCCAATTCTACACAGCCCTAATATTGAGACAAGTAGGTGATTCTGATTGCAAATTACACGATATACGAGAAAGTTCAGTGATAGAACGAGAGAACAATCCACAATCCAGAAATACAGATGTTTGGCTGAGATGACACTGTGACGATTGGGTATGGGTTTCTTAGAATTTCAATAAGAACTCTCATCCAATAATGAACACTGAACTAAGGTAATTGGCACTGATGGCCGCACTATCCATAACGTTAACTATATTTATTGTGTAAGTATAACGGGAACGCCGTGGCCGAGTGGCTGTGATGGTCATCGCTACACGCGTGGAGCCAAGGTTCATCATCCAAGTCTCTCCAGCAGCCAACAACGAACACCCCATGGAACGCCACAGCCAGCCTATCCTAGAGATTTAAAGGAGACGTGCTCAATGCTAGAAGCACTAGAATCCGCACAGTGAGAAAAAAAAAGCTGTAAAGACAGATCAATAGTGGCTAAAATGTGCAAGTATAACAGTGGTATCTGAGTTAATACTCTTGATAACAGAACTCTTCTGATAATTTATAATCACACTCGAACGAAAATACATGATATAAGCAGCAAAAACTTCTGAGCAGAACTTCATATTACCTGGAAGCGAATTCTTTTCTCTTGTCAACATCGTGCTCAATCCAACGTATCGCTGCTTCGAATACCTCTTCTTCTGATTCAACGTATAGCTCGTCCATGGACAATAAATCGACCACTTCATCTATCGAAAGGTGAAGGAATTCATCACTACGGCTCACTGACATGAAATGTTTTTGCACGAAGCGATCCGCAGCCGAGACAACAGATCTAAACCGCCTTTGAACGGGGACATTTGTGAACGTGGGACGTTACAATCCTCAAATCACAACTCACCTACACCCAAGAGCCAAGCAAAAAGCTCGAACAGCTAGAGCGTTTGACGGGTGTAGCCTTGCTTGAAGATACTCTGCACATTTGTCAGCAACACCATCAAGCTTGAAACAGATTATGAGCGGAATGCTGGATTGCAAATTTTTGCAAGCTTTGTGAGACAATTACAACTTCCCAGAAAAAGAGAGAGAGAGAGTCAATCGCCCTTATGCGCAACTTATACAAGTGTTGCAGTCGTTTCAAAGGAGAGTTCCATGAAAATATCGAAGACAAAGAAAACTCGCAAAAATTTGGCTTTTTTTCCGAAAAAAGGCGAAGTGATAAACAGTTTTTTCGACTTCAATTCACTGATAAAAGATATCCGCATTTAGAAAGCGATCAAATTATTTACCTGAAGAAAATTTGCACCAATCATTATAGATTGAACATTTCCTGCACATATCCGAAGTTCTCCACAATAAGCGAAAGACACTAACTGTTCGAGGGTGTTGAAATCCAAATCTAAACGTGGATAACAAAGTTCTATTGTTATATTTGCTCCTGAAGTCACTGGACCACGAA